TTGGGGGTCACGTGCCCCCTATAGCAAAAATCTCAAAAGAAATAGTGACCAGCTACCCTTCTGTTTCTGCTTCACTTTACTTTTTTTTTTTTTTTGGAGAGGTTTTATGCTATAGGATGTGTGCGCTCACCAGAAAGACAGAGAGGGACAGAGACAGAAAGTGAGAAATCACCCCCCAGGGGGGATGGCCATGCCACAATCCCTTCTCCTCCATTTGCCTCTGAGGATCTTAGGCACACATGCACACACGCCGGGTGTGAGTTTAAGCCCCCAGGGCCAGGACTCAAATCACAGTCAACTACATGAGAGTCCAGTGACATAGCCATTACGCCAACTGCTGGTCCTTTCTGCTTCGCTTTAAAGCAAAGCTCCTAGAGAGGTTGCCTGCTCTCTTGTCTTGCACTCTTCTATTTCAGTCAGTCTTTGACTCTCCACCTCTCACTGAAACTGCCCTCATCAATGTCATCAGTGAACTCCACTTTGCTAAACCCGTGGTGGCTTCTTGGTCTTCACCTCATTTGGTTTTTCTGTAGCTGTTTTTTTTTTTTAAGAATTGTTTTATTGGGACCAGTAGTTGACATAATGACTATGTCTCTGGATTCCCATGTAGTTAACCACGGTGACTCACACCAAGTGCGTGTGCGTGCCTGCCCAAGATCTCCAGAGGAGAATGGAGGAGAAGGGATTACAGCGTAGCCTTCCCCCTGGGGGGTGATTTCTCGTTTTCTGTCTTTCTGGCAAGCATACACGCCCTATAGCAAAAAAAAAAAAAACCTCTCCAAAAAAAATTGTTTTATTTCACTTTATTTGTTTATTTATTTAAATTTGACCAGAGAGACAGACACAGAAAGAGAGAAAGTGAGAAAGCAAGCTGCCAGGTCTGGGACTCAAACCGCCATTTGGGAGTCCAGCCCCTTTCTATAGCATTTTCACAGCTGATTACTGCCTCCCAAGAAACCACTCTCTTGAGTTACTTCCTATATCTTTTTTCAGTCTAATTGGTGATTCCTCCTCCTCTCCCTTTATTTTTGGAGGGTCCTAGGACTCAGTCTGGCCCTCTCCTTTTCTCTTTCTTTTCTTTAAGAATCATGTTATTTCATTTATTATTATTATTATTATTTGTTTAATTTGACCAAAGAGAGACAGAGAAAGAAAGGGAAAGTAGGAGAGCAAACCTCCATGTCTGGGACTCGAACCATGGTTGGATATATGGAGTCCATCACCTTAACCACCACGCCACCTTTTTCTCCATCTTTTTCTCCAGATTTCAATCTATCAGTCCATTCACACTCCCTTCCGGTCTCATGGCTTTGGATGTTTATACCCGGATGCCTCCCAGACTGCAGTCCAGACCTCTCCCCTGAATTCCAGCCACAGACATCTAACTTTGCTCTCTATCTCCACCTCCAACTCTAATATCCAGTCTTACCCAAGAAACATTTTTCCCAACTCAAAATGGTAATTCTCTTCTAGGAGTCATCCTTGACTCATGTTTTATTTCATATCCAAATCTGTCAGCAGATCCTGTATACAGTACAGGAGTCCACCTTTATTCATGGGGGATACTTTTGTTTAGGGGGGTAGGGTTTAGAGACTTTTGCTATAGGGCACATGCGCTCACTGGAGAGACAGACAGAGACAGACAGAAAGTGAGAAATCACCCCCACAGAGGATGGCCACGCCACAATCACTTCTCCATTCTCCTCTTGGGATTTTGGGCATGCACACACATGGCCCCCCTGCATGAGCTTCAAGCCACCGGGTCTGGGACTCAAACTTCAGTTGACTATATGGGAGTCCAGCAACGTAACCATTATGCCTTCCTCTGGCTCTATGGGTGATACGTTTTTAAGGCCCTCAGCAGATACTTGAAACCACAGATAGTAACAAGCTCTATATATACTGTTTTTTCTCTCTACATATACCTATGACAAAGTTAAATTTACAAATTAGAGACAGCAAGGGATTAATGACAGTAATTAATAATAGAACAGTTATAATGATATGCCAGCACCATTACTCCTGTGCTTTGGGGTCATTATTGAGTAACACAAGGGCCACTGGAACACAAGCACTGTGATACTGCGACAGTCTATCTGATGACTGGGGTGGCTGTTAAGTGACTAGTATGTGGATAGCATGCGGATACACTGGACGAAGGGATGATTCACATCCCAGGCAGAATGGCACAGGATATTAGCATGTACCAGAGCAGTATGCAATTTAAAACTTATGAATTGTTTATTTCTGGAATTTTCCATTTAATATTTTCAGACTGTGGTTGATCATGTATAACTGAAACCACGGAAAGCAAAACCACAGTTGAGGGGGAACTCCCATACCTTCAAAGTATATCTGGAATCAGACCACTTGCCACCACCCACACACACATACCCATCTTTCTTCTTGCACGTAGACTATGGCACCAACTCGCACCCTTACCCACCTCCAGTTCTGTCTCCGCACACCAGGTTTGTTAGATAGAGCATAGATTTAAAATAAATTCCAGTTTTAAAAAATAATTGGAAGGGAACACATTATTTGAAATCACTTAACTTCAAAGTTCTCAACCTTTTTCAACCTCTTAAAAATCACTGGGGGTGGGGGGTGACCAGCAGATGGAATAATGGCTGCGTTGCTGGACTCCCATGTAGTCAACTGTGGTTTGAGTCCTGGACCCAGTGGCTTAAACTTACGCCATACGCATGTGCATGCCTGCCCAAGATCCCAAGAGGGGAATAGAGGAGAAGGGATTGCAGCGTGGCCATCCCCCCTGGGGGGTGATTTCTCACTTTCTATCTCTCTGTCTTTCTCTGTCTTTCTGGCAAGTACACGCGCCCTATAGCAAAAACCTCTCCAAAAAGAAATTACTGGGGGAAAGGCCAGCAGGTGGTATGTGGTAGTTAAGGGCACGGGACTCCCACATGGCCAACCACGGTTCAAGTCCTGGACTGGCGACTTGCTTTCTCATTTTCCCTCCTTTTCTCTCTTTCTCTCTTTCTCTCTCTCTCTCTCCCCTCCCCTCGGGTATAAATAAACAAATAATCTTAAAAAAAAATCAGGGCCAGCAGGTGGCATGATGGTTAAGGGCACTGGACTCCCACATGGCCAACTACAGTTCAAATCCCAGACCTGGCAGCTAGCTTTCTCACATTCCCTCCTCTCCCCCACCTTGCCCCACTTTGGTATAAATAAGTAAATAAATAAATAATCTTTTAAAATAAATTGGGGCCAGGGACCAGCAGTTGGTGTAATGGCTATGTTGCTGGACTCCCATGTAGTTTACTGCAGGTCAAGTCCCTGAACCGGTGGCTTAAACTCACGCCAGGCACATGTGCATGCATGCGCAAGATCCTGGAGGAGAATGGAGGAGAAGGGATTGTAATATGGCCATACCCCCTGGGGGTGATTTCTCACTTTCTGTCTCTCTGTCTCTGTCTTTCTGGCGAGTGCATGCGCCCTATAGCAAAAACCTCTGAAAAAAAAATCAAGGCCAGCAAGTGGCGTGATGTTTAAGGGCACTGGACATCTAAATGGACAATCACAGTTCGAGTCCCGGACCTGGCAGCTTGTTTTCTCACTTTCCTCTCTTTCCCACTCTGTCCCTCTCTAGTCAAATAAAAATAAATATAAGCAAATAAATAAATAAATAAAAATAATTCTTTAAAAAAATCACTCGGGGTGGAGGACGGCAGGTAGTGTGGTTAAAGGCACTGGATTACCACATGGCTATCTGCAGTTTGAGCCCTGGACCTGGCAGCTTGCTGTCTGACTTTCTCTGTCTCTCTCTCTCTCTGTCTCTGTCTGGTCAAATTTAAAA